CATCCAAGTTTTCCTGGGGTCCTTCCTACTTCAGCAATGTGCCTCCAGCTCAGAACAGTAGACAGGCAGGCAGGCAGGCAGGCAGTAGGCTGTCAGGCCCTGGATGATGAGGTGATTTGATGTTCTGCATGCTTATTTCTTCTTACACTTAAGGGCTACATTCTAGACCTTGTAGGAAATGTTATTCCATGTGGTTTATCAAAGTATCAGTAAGCCAAAAATATCAAGGAGAGGCAGGCAGGTAGGTGACTTATACCAGGTTAAAAAATTAAAGTTCTCAGTCTGAATTAATTGTTCTTTGACTTAAAAAGTTTTAACTTTGTAAGAGGTGCATGTATGTGCTTATTGGCAAGATAATGAGTTATTGCAAAATCTATTGAAAAGCATATTTAAATCTCTAGTTTGGAAAAACACCCTACAAGCAAACTTTAGGTCTCAATGGCATCAAGTGTGCAAAACACATAAATGTAAATATTATCCCATTAGACCCCTTTGGTAATTATTTCTGCAGAGATTAGAGCCAGACCACAGCCTGAGGAAAGCCAGCTTCTCTTTGGGTTCTGGGGCCTTTTGCCTGGAACGGACATTTGGCTCCACCAGAAGCATCTGGCACCTGAGCCAGAAGAACATCACTGCATCTTAGTGTGCCTCATTTCAGAGTCCACCGGGCTGTTCAGTAGACTGCGGTGTGTCCTGGCTTTGGAGCACACTGGCACTGTGGACTCACCAGGTTATTTTATGAGCCAGAGAAAACAGGTACATGAAACAGTGTGTTTGTGCCATCTCTGGCCATACAATGCAAATGAGGAGGAAATATTTCCTTTTCTCAACACAGTTTTCTTATTTAATGTACAAGCACCAACATCCAGCAAATGCTCAATATGTGTCCACTGACTGGTGGGCAGATCAGAAATAGCACAACAGCTGCTGAGGTGGGAGGAGAAAGCAAGCCTCGAGGGCTCAGAGAACTCGGATTGAGTGGGGAAGTCCAGCTGACCTGGGCCTTGAAGGGTTAGGAGTGGGGGTAGCGTTGTGGGCCACAGTCACCCTTGTATGGCAGTGATGGCACTGAATCTCATCATCTGGAGGAGAGAGCATTGGTATAGGGGCTCAGATTGAAGATGTAGCTTGGGATTGGGCCATGCCAACCTGTGAATACCAAGCTGGAGCTCAGCTTTACCTTGTAGATGACATTAGGCAGTCACGTGTTAGCAGGAGATTGCATTGGAATGCGGTATGTTTTGGAGAATAGAGCTCCTGAGAACTGATTTGAGACAATAAATAGCCAAGAACTTTCACTTGAGGGATTGAACAGGGCTCTGTCTGAGAGAGAACATTCACAGCTCGCACAGCATCCTTCTGCAGTTAAAAACAGAGCAAAGAGCTCCCCCCACCTCCAGGCCTGGGGATAGGGGAGAATGAATCCCAGTTTACTACTGCTCTTGTGCTCCTCCCAGCCCATGGGATGAATGGCTTACCTATCAGCTTGGCCTGAGCAAGTCCAGTGTCTCCCTGGCCACGAGACAAGACTTCAGAGAGGCTAACCAGACCCCTGTGTCACTCACACATGGCCAGTCCTCAGACTCTGAGGCCACTTGGGCTTCCCTTCTCTTAGGGCTGGAGATCAGGCAGGCCCCTTGCGTTTCTTTTGTTCCCATTCCAGCTTTCTCACCTGGATCTTCTGGGTTTTTCAGATGTGGTGAGAGTGGCAGAAGTTGCAGGCCTCCTTGGGCCCAAGCATAAGCCAGTCCATCTTATTTACAGGGAGAGCCCTGTGTTTGGGATAGTAAAACGTTTACTATTATCGCCTTTAACCTTCATCTCCCAGCTGTTAAAACCCTATGGAAAGGAAGATGTGAGACTGATACCGTTCCTCGATCTGCATTATCTTTAGAGTGAACAAAACTGTTGGGGGTTTGTTTGTTTTTTATCTCTTTTGTTTTCTTCCTCCAAAACCTCATGCTCTGGCAAGTTATAAAAGCCAGTAAGTCTCTGAAACACAGTTCCCACATAGATTTCAGGTTTTTTCTGAGAAGAGCAGATTATGCCTCATGTTTTGTACATTCCACTACCCTGTGAAACATTGTGAAAATTTCATTTAGTTCATTTAGGATTTAGCCTAGGGCTTTGATACAGAGTATCCGTTTGTAAATATTTTCTCATAGTAGGGTAGGGGAGCATAAGGAATTTTCACTGCAGAGTATACCACCAGTCATATAGGATAAAGTAAGAATCATAAAATGAAAAATAAGGAAAGAACAAAGCATCAAAGGACCAGGACATCCTCAGAGGGTCTAGTTGGTGGGGCTGTGGAAAGCCTGGTGATGCCGTGCTGCCCAGCAGGTGACCCTTGCTCTCTAGCTTCCCCCGAACTGAAGGCTATGTCCCAGTGTCCTCAAGCCCCAGCTCAGCCCGCACATCGTGAACAGGGAGGTATCTTAGAGCAGCCCTAAACTGCACACACAGCCAAAGCGTAGGTGAGACATCTCCGCGAGCAGCCTCTGTCTCCAGAGTGGCTCAAGAAGTGTCACAGGAGTGACGGCTTCTAGGCAGGTTGTCTGTAGCATACGGTTCTGGGCTCACGAGAGACTCCAGCCCAGTCTTGAAACTTTTAATCAAAGACCGAGTTCTCTGTTGATTCAAAGTTGGGATCCCCTTTCCCTTCCTCTGCCCACTCTATGGAGCCACCATGGAGGGATTCTAACCCCAAAAGGTCAGTGAGGACCCTTTGTTTTCCTTCAGAGCCCTTCTGCCCCATCAGAGAATGCTAAGGGCAATGGTGTTTTTCTGATGGGGTCTCACTGTGGACGCCAAGAGGTACCTTGTAGACGTGGCTTCTTCAAGGACCATCCGTCATACAGCTTTTTAGAATTTCTCTAGCAATAGGTAAGAAAAAAGAAATGTTAGGAATGTTTCTATCTAACCCACTTAAGTGAGGGTTTTTCTTTAGTCCTAAAAATTTTAGCCTGCAATACAGTGTAAGGCTACAGGGGTCATTCCTCAGAGAACATCATTTTCAAGGTTTAAAATTTTATCATTGACTGTGATAACCAATAAAAAGCATGTAGATAGTAGAGATGTGATTGAGGGCTGAGCATGTCACTTGTATAAAAATGTAGGAACTCTGTCTCTTGAGCCATGAAGTAATTTTTTACAGCCCACGTATTTCACCAGCATTTAATTAAACAATTGTAGGCAGAAAACTAAAGGTTGAATAAATTAATGAAGAGCAACTTTACCTCATTTTGGTAAAAATCTGCTTTTGAAAAGTGTGCCCTTTCAATCTGATTTTAACCAGCACACTTTATAAAAAAGAAAATGAGCAAGATATACTCAGGATTCATAAAGTTGTATGTGGTAGAGAGTTTCTTGGAGGTTTCCTGCTACAGAGGATAACACAGAGTGTACTGACCAGGCTTTTGTGGGCACTGCTGGGTACTCCGACATTCACAGTGCATCCTGCAGTAGGAACACCCTGAGCAGAAGGTTTTAACAACTTGAGCCCCCAGGCCCAGTGTTCATCCTGCAAACATCTGTCATTCCCTTCCTTTTACAAGTTGGAAGGGAATGTATCCAGTTCTATCAAATGGAAGTATTTTCTATATAAATAACCAGAAAAACACAGCACAAACTAGTTTAAAAAATTCGCCAGCCTAAAAAAATAAGAGGTATTTACTGACTGATAATACTGAAAAAATCCAAAGGCAAGGCCAAAGCAAGCAGTTAGAACAGGGTGAGTAGGACTGGCCTCTTTTCTGTGCCCTGAAAAGGTGGCTTTGAGTTCCTTAGGTGGTCACTGTTCTTCTGCATTCTCTATGAAAGCAAGATTTCTCAGCAAAACTCCTAGGGTTGACTGGCCTAGTTCATGTGTTTTGCTAAACTAATTACCATAAAGCAAGGGAGGAAACATCCCCAGGATAGAAACCTGGGTCACAGTGCAGCTCTGAACCAACTCATGCCGGAGAAGACTTAATACTCAAGCTTAAACTGTACTTCCTTAGCCTCAGAAGAGCACTCAATCCCAGGAAGGCTTTTCCATTGCTGGGAAAACTCAGTCATAACATGAACAAAGGAAGGACTAGGACAGTGTGCCTGTCCGCTGTTGCTCTTACATCCTCAGAGAAAGAGGGACTCCCCAAGTCTGCAGCCTTTCCCTGTGCCTGTGAGTAGGAGTTATTTAGAGAGGAGAGTATGTCTGTAAGAGAAGCAAGGAGGACATAAGGAAGAGTGAGGCACTCTGGCTTTTGGCAGATGATCACTGGGAGGAGTGGTTTTTCTCGGGAGTAGCCTCAATTATCATCTTGATGTCCAAGAGCAAACTGACTCATTTCCATAAGAACTCAATTAGGATTTCTCTTACCAAGTAAGTTTGAAAGTATAGTCTCAGCTAAGACACTTCCACATCAATGTTGAAGGTAAGACATATTAGCCGTGTATCTCCAGGTAATTACATGTGTATCTCCATAGTTATGTATGAACATTACAGTGAAACCTAAAGAGAATATGTGCACTTAGGAACATGTGTTTGCTTATCAAAGAATATTTTTTCTAATAATAATAATTCTAGAAATATAGATGTGCTTTGGGCAGAGAATTAAGTAACTTTGCCTTGAATGTTTAGAACAGAGCAAAGTAAGTCTGATATTTAGTTCTTAATTCAGATCTTAAGTATTTGGTCATGATTGAATAATTTTTGGTAGACATTTATGACAGTATATCAAATACAACACGGTTGTCCAGACTTTATTTTCTCTTTCATTTTGAAAGTTATTTCAGCATATATTTATTATTATTCTCTTGTGCTTGTCACCTGGAGTTTGCATAATGGAAACAACCGGTGTGTACCATGAATCATTTGCACATAAGTCATCACAAGCCCAGCTCAAGGCTGTAATAATTGGAAGCATCCAGAAGATGGATTGAACTTACTGAAATAAACATAATTCATAGATTGAGTAATCACGTAATTCATTCCTTTTTTCCTGACTTTTTTCCCTCAGAACCGAATGGAGGAAAGCAAAGCGCTCTTTAGAACGATTATCACATATCCCTGGTTCCAGAACTCCTCAGTCATTCTGTTCTTAAACAAGAAGGATCTTCTAGAGGAGAAAATTATGTATTCCCACCTAGTTGACTACTTCCCAGAATACGATGGTAAGTATCAGTAGCCGAGGATGGGTTTTGCCCGGGCCCTGTGTTGTAATCATGGAAGTACAAGTTACTGTTTGCTCTGTCTTGTAATGACACAAAATGTTTTATACCCTAATGCTGAAAGTTACAGAGAAAGAACATTTCTCATGTGTTTTTAAATAATCAGATCAGAGAGAAGAATAATCAGTAGTTTTTGTTTTGTTTTGTTTTGGTACCGGGGATCGAACTCGGGTCCTTGCGCTTGCAAGGCAGGCCACTGAACTGCTGAGCTAAATCCTGTGCTCCAATCCAGTAGTTTTGACCAATTGTGTATCAGACATTATAGTTTCCTCTTTCTCTTCCTTTATTTTGTTAGAACTCTGCCTGGGGAGAGAACAATTTTGTGGTCAAGAAGTTCATCTCTGAAGTGAGATTGAAATATGACACTTGCTGTATTTATAGAGCTTTGATTTTCTGGGCTTTTAGACCAAATCCATGACGTTGTTTTATAGATTATAACAGATAACATAGATATAACATTTATCATAATGCCTGACAGATAATATTTAGGAAACATTTACTTTTGGGAGGCTTCATGACCTAGTAAAATCCCATGTTTTGTTTTGCTTTTTTCCATTGAGTTTATTGGTACTTTTTAGGCGTACAGTACAGTTACGTTCATCACTGGGATCTTGTACCTTTACATGACAGATCTCAGTTCTCATTTTTACCCCATACCCCTGCCCACCCTTCACCCTCTCAACCCTCCCCTATTTACAAAGGCTTTTTTCCTTTTCTCATATTTTTTCCCTTATTTCCTTTCCCCTACCCTTCCCACTTCCCCTACACCTTTAGCCCTTTTTTTCCTATTTCATGATTCGTACAGTAGCAGCTATCCTTTAAGCTCTTCACCCAGCACTTAGAATCTGCCATACCCACTTCGTTACTCCTATGGTCTTGCTTGACCTTCTCAATCCTTAGAAAAAGATCTTGCCTTTCCCAGGTAGGCTATGAAATTCCTAACAACTGGGCACCCAGCTCTTCTTAGAAGTACTTGTTGATTAAGTACATCCACATCCAACTACTCTAAAGCCTTTGCCCTATAAGAGCTTCATGTAGATTAGGCCTGCTACCTGTTTTTATAAATAAGGGTTTTTGTTTGTTTGTTTTTTTCCATACAGCCACACTCATTGCTGTGACTGCTTTTATGCTATAACAGCAGAAGTGAGTGATTATGACAGTAAATGATCTGCAACACCTAAAATATTTAGTCTCTGGCTCTTTACACAGCAAGTTAGCCAACCCTTGGTTCAGACAGTAATTAAAAGCATGCACTTTGGCCAGGTATGGTGGTGCACACCTGTAATCCTAGCACTTGGGAGGCTGAGGCAGGAGGATCACTGTGAGTTGGAAACTAGCCTGGGCTACATAGTGAATTCCAGGTCAGTCTCAACTATATAGTGAGACCCTGTCTCAAAACAACAACAAAAAACAAAAAAAAGGCACACACTTTGAAAGTCTCAGAGTTCCAGCGGTATGTCTCAGTGGTTATATTGCTTTGGAAATTTTATTGAATTGGTCTCCTGTTTCTTCCTGAGTAAAAATGATTGAATAGAATCACATGGAAGTCACTTAGCACAGCATATGGCACAGGTAAGAGCCAAACCCAGAAGTCCATATTACAGGGGGTGTGTGTGTGTGTGTGTGCAGCAAAATGATAAACTATATTTAAAATTACCTTTTCAACATAGGGTATGCATAATGGGTGTTAGTTCAACAGTGTTTTTGTTCTTCTACAAGCTCCTGGGAAATAATTATTTATAAACTAAGAGTAACGTTGGCTTCATAGCTTTCCATAAAGGCACAAGAACATCAGGAATGGAGGTTTAGTCATCCTTTTGTCCCACATGCATTTGACATGGTGCTGTCTCATGGAAGGCGGCGAGTATTCCTTTTGTAATGCACTCAAGTTCCCATCTCAGATACATAGAAGGATTTGAAAGCTGGTGAATTAAAATGCATACATTTGGGGATGTTCCATGCTGTAGAAATAGTGCCCCTTTTTTGTTACCAGTAGATCTACATTTTCTATCCAAGTACTTTCTTCTGTGCTTTCCTTTCCTTTTTAAAGCAAATAACACTCTAACCTAAATAGCATTTTCTCTTTAAAACTTTTTATTTTGCTGCTAGCTGGAGACAAGTAGTAAGTGCCTACGCAGACTATGGATGGAAGTAACTTAATGTTTAGTTTCCTTGCTTTCCCCTGTAACAACCTCGTTCTTTCAACACAAAACCTTCCTGAGTAACATTGAGTGTGAAGCAGACTCAGGCAGATGTAACTGCCTTGCAAACCTGGAAAGAGACTCCTCGTAATTTTTTTTAGAGTTGAGTGAGAATCAGTGAATGGAAAATAACATACCATACACAGCCCCCACCGTCCCCCAGGCCATGTCATTTTCCTGACATGCTTGCATAAGGACAGATCATACTGCCCACCCACAAAGCTTGAAACACACCCTTACTCCAGCCACATCAGCCGTAGTCATGCCATCGGGCAGGTGACCGTTCTCAAAAAAAAAAAAAAAAAAAAAAAAAAAAAAAAAAAAAAAAAAAAAAAAAAAAAAAAAAAAAAAAAAAAAAAAAAAAAAAAAAAAAAAAAAAAAAAAAAAAAAAAAAAAAAAAAAAAAAAAAAAAAAAAAAAAAAAAAAAAAAAAAAAAAAAAAAAAAAAAAAAAAAAAAAAAAAAAAAAAAAAAAAAAAAAAAAAAAAAAAAAAAAAAAAAAAAAAAAAAAAAAAAAAAAAAAAATCACTTTTCTTTGTTGAGTGTTTACAGAACTGTTTTTCTCTGCAGCATTTTTCTCATCTCTTTAAAACTCTTAGTCTCCTAATTTCCCCAGATTCCCCATCAAGTATGAGCATTTTCTTTCCAATATGTGCGTGTTGTGAGTGCTTTGATGTCTGAAGATGTTTTTACTGTTAACCTCCCATGGTACACACATAATGCCCGTAGGAAATGTGGCCACAGAAGAAGAAAAGACACCGATTTTGCTATTCTCAAAGCAAATGCAGCTGTCATTTTATGAAACTCAAAAGCTCTTGCAAGACGAACTAAGGCCACAAAAAATCTAGACCCACTCTAGTCGTAATAAGCATGTTTATAATATTATAAACTTCACACCTCCACATTTTTGTACTTACAAGGTCTTAATCATAACGAATATTATTTCTGCATTTCTGTTCAGGAAAGGAAATTACCATCTATGCGGACTTGAATTGCAAGTGTTCACAGAGACTATGATGAATAGAATGTTTTCTTTGTAGTTTACGTTTAATCAAATAATAATTTATGTTACAAACATAATACACTCCAAGTGTACTTCAGTGAACTTGAATCTGGTTCTGATGTTCTTTGAGTGAATAAAAAAGAAAAATCATTATGGTTCCTTCCTTCCCAAATATACTAAGTACAAAATCATCCAGATCAGTCACAGGCCAGAAATAATATTGTGATTTTATGAAAACATCAGGCTTCTGCTCTAACAATCTATTAGTCTCTGGTTTTAAATATTTTTAGTACTGCTCTGGAAATAAGAAGTTAACCATAGTAATTGAAAAATATAAGACATTAAATATTTACATATTTTTAAAATGTTATTAGTTATAGGTTTTCAGTATATAGCGATTACATTCATCAAGGGGAGTTAGTATATACACATAACACATCTTAATTCTTTTTTTTCCGGTACTGGGGATCAAACTCAGGACCTTGCACTTTCAAGGCAGGTGTGTGGCATCACTGAGCTAAACCATCGGCTCTAATTCTTAATTCTTTTTATGTCCCCCTGTCCCCTCCATCTCTTGATCCCCTTCCCACTAAGTCAATTTTAATAATTACATACAATTTTAATTAGTGTGCTTTTATTTCATAGGATGCCAGCTTTCTCAATTGCTATCAAAAATTTCAATTCTTGTTCCAGGGACTTAGCTCAGTGGCACCATGCCTGCCTTACAAGTGCAAGGTCCTGAGTTCAATCCCCAGAACAACAACAACAAAAAAAATCAATTCTCAGCACCTAAATCAAAAATTTGAACAGTACTTTTTATTGACTCCTAACTTCTCGCAGTTTTGGATATAAGTTCATAGGAATGAGCCCCAGTTAGCACTATGGTCAATTTGAAAATTTGGACGTTGACAGTCTAAAAATCAGAGTTACTTCGTTAGGAGTGGTGTCCTGGCTCTCCGTAGAGTTCTCAAACTTTAATGTATCCCAGCAGTTGCATCTTAACCTTTTTGAGTGAAAGTCCATGGCATTAACTACACTTACAGTAATGCGCAGCCATGACCAGGGTTTCCAGGTCTTTCCCACCACCCCAGCTAAGCAGTAACCACCCCATGATTCTCCCCTTTCCGCCGGTGATCCCTGTTCTACCCTCTCTGTGTTTCTGCCTGGGTACCTCTTTTAAGAGGAATTACACAGTATTTCTTCACATCTGGTTTATTTTACTTACATGTTTTCAAGGTTCATACACCTCGTAGCATCTGTCAGAACTTCATGTCTCTTTATGGCTAACTGATGGCCACACCAGCTTTGGCTTATCTGCTCACCAGCCGGTAGGCACTGGGGTTGTGTTCACCACCTGACTCTTGGGATTGTGCAGTAACACTGACCTGTGGGAACCCCTGTTCTTGAATCCTTTGGACGTAGACTTAGGAGTAGAACTGCTAGGCCATGTGGGAATTTTTTCTTTAGCTCCCCCCACCCCCGTACCAGGGATTGAACTCAGGACCTTGTGCTTGCAAGACAGGCTTGGTGCCACTGAGCTGAATCTCTGGCCCTTTTTTTAGTTTTTAAGGAGAATTTTCTACAATCTTTTCTTCAGTGGCTGCACCATTGTACATGCCTGCCACCAGCGCATGAGGGTACAATCTTCTCTTCATTGCCAAGAGTTACTACTTTTTAAAACTTAATGCCGTTCTAGTAGGAGGGAAGATGTATCTTATGATTTTAGTTGGCATTGAGTAGCAGAGTTAAGCATGTTTTCATATCCTCATTGGTCATTTATATCCCTTCTTCTTGAAGAAATGTCTGTTCAGATAACTCTGCTTACTTGCTCATTCGTTCATTCATGTATTGCTTGTATTGAAGCTCAAACCCAGGGCCTTGATCATGCCAGGCAAGCGTTCTGTTGTCTGTTGCTGACCTATATCCTCAGCCCTTCTGCCCACTTTTTAATCAAGCTGTTTTCCTTTTTGTTGAGTTGTAGAAATTCTTTTAGTCCGATATTGATAATTTTTTTTTTGCTGCTTCTGCTTTGGTGTCATATCTCAGAGTTCACTGCAAAATTAATATGCTTCTAATGTATCCTGATAACACAGTCCTTATACTCAAACATCTAGGACAATGCTTGGTACATAAGAGACCCCAAATACGTGTGAGAAAATGTAAACCAAGTTTGTTCATAGTCACACACTGCACTTTATATAAATGTAGGATGCTCAGAAACACCAGAAGTTAACAAAGCAAGACTGCAGAGAACTATTATAAATGGACCTGACCTTAGGTTCTGATGTTGTATTCTGAGGTTTGAATGTATAAAATGTAAAATGATCCACAATGGGGGTCTTTGGAGCCACATTGATAATAGAGTGCGGCAACTGTGTCTTGATGCACACTTTGTTTTTTTGTGTACTGGGGATCAAACTCAGGACCTTACAAGGCAGGCACAATTGCTACTGGGCTAAATCCCTGGCCCTGCACACTTATTATAGAGCTGAAATACTTCACTCAGTCGAACTGAACTGTCACTTCCTTACTAAACAGCCTACAGTGCTTCCCTTGTCAACCAAGGAAATGAAATAAAGAAAGAAACTTAGATTGGCCTTCAAGTTGTCTCTCTGCTTGAACCTATCCATATTTTATTGGTGGGTGGATGGGTGAACTGACTGGAAAGCTAAAGTGACAAAAAAATTAGAACAGTAGTGTTAGAAAACATGATCATATCAGTCTGCAATGCAGATTAGTCTCTGTGAGCAATGACAAAATAAATATTTATTGAATGAGTGATGAACAAATACATTGATTAAATCATCTAACAGGTTCTTTTTTTTTTTTTTTTGCTTGGCAAACAGGACCCCAGAGAGATGCGCAGGCAGCTCGAGAATTCATCCTGAAGATGTTCGTGGACCTGAACCCAGACAGTGACAAAATTATCTACTCCCACTTCACGTGCGCCACAGACACCGAGAACATCCGCTTTGTCTTTGCTGCTGTCAAGGACACCATCCTCCAGTTGAACCTGAAGGAGTACAATCTGGTCTAATTGTGCCTCCCTTCCCTTCCCTGGTGGGCTATTGAAGATACACAAGAGGGACTGTATTTCTGTGGAAAACAATTTGCATAATACTAATTTATTGCCGTCCTGGACTCTGTGAGCATATCCACAGAGTTTGTAGTAAATATTATGATTTTATTTAAACTATTCAGAGGAAAAACAGAGGATGCTGAAGTACAGTCCCAGCACATTTCCTCTCTATCTTTTTTTTTAGGCAAAACCTTGTGACTCAAGTCTCTTTTAAATTTTCAGTTATGCACTCATGAAGAGTCTCTGCCTCTCTCTCTCTGCCTCCATCCTTCCCTCTCTCCCCTCTTCTTTTCTATTGAGAAAAACAAAGTCGATTTTCCTCTTTCATAATCCATATCTTCTTCCTGAATTTTCTCCCCAGGTTATAACAGCCTTTATTCTAGCTCCATTCTTGGTTAAATCTTTCTCTGGAATGATAATCGGGACATTGTCATTCGATTTAAGCCATCCTACATCAGCTTAATCTAACAGTTTTAGTATTTGCTGAAGGACTATATGTATTACTGCTGTGGTTCTGTATTGTGCTCCATATGTATGAACTGTTTCCATATATGGAGTCTTGTCTCACTTTGGACTGGGATCGTGGATGCCCATTGAGCAGTTAAGGATCATTTCTTTCGGGTTTTGACCTTCAGCTGCAGTTTAATTGCCCAGAAATGCTCAGAAGTCAGAGGGCTGGCTAAACATACAGTGGGAGTCTGCTTTTGAAATCCATGTGTCATTGTCTTTCCTCCCTTTCTTGCTTCTTTTTTTCCCTCTCTTTTCTTTAATTCTTAATTGCAGATGCCAAAAAATATGCCAACAAACACTACATTCCCCCAGTGGCTGCTACCCAAGTTCTTTTCAGAGGTTTTTCTTAATTGTTTATTAGCTCCAACTTTTCCTTTCCTCTTTTTTTTTTTTTTTTTTTTTTCCTTTGTGCTTGGGCCACAATTCTACAATGGTTTTTATTATGGGTATGTGCTGCCAAAGCTGGCCTTCTGTCAAACAAAATGGATTAAAAAGAGCTTAATTAAAGCCAGCATCTTAAAATGTAAGCAAGTAAGACTGTGAACCCTTACATGACTGGCTGAGAATGAACCTGAAATACCAATTGCCAAACAGTTGGTAACTGTAAATTTGATTCTTTCGGTCCATTCTTTTCTTTGCCCTTAAGATCACATTGTTTATTGTCTGTGTCCCACATTGATTGTCCAAATCAGCAGTAGAAAAGTATCCTTTGTGCTTTATCATGAAATCTGCTTATGTTTCTTTGTCTGAAGCCAGTTTTACTTATTCTTTATGTTCTTTAAGTTCAAGTAAGTTTGCCAAGAACATCAGTCGATAGTATTATTCTGACACCTTTAATTTGCAAAAAGAAAAAAGAAAAGTGGCTGCTAGTTTACCATATTTGGGATCTTCTTGAAATGGTGACTGGTTAAATTGAACATGAAGAAAATTTGTGTACTTAATTCAAAAGTACCCTTTCAGTGTTCTGTTGAACATGTATTTATGTAACTGAACCTACTAGGAGAGATTTTTGGAATTCTATATGTGCAATTTTTCAGCAAATGCAAAAAATACAGCACATGTATTATCAAGAGCTTCTGTCAAGGAGCTTAAGTTAAAATGTGATTTAAGAAAATAAATCATGATTGTTACAAAGTTGCTGGAAAGCTAGAATTAGGCCATGATGCTGATCTTGATACTATTTGGCACTAGTCTAAACTTCTATATTAGTCACTTTTTGGGGAGTAACAAAGGGGAGAAAGAATGTTAACAGTTTATTAGATGAGTACCAGAGTTACTCAGTAGTAATGAGATGTTCTTATTCTTCGCTCTCCTGGTCTCAAAACACACAGGTTGCTTTTTTTTTTTTCTTGCTCAGAAAAGCACCTGTAATTTAATTAACAAACATTCCACCTGTAGGTGTAGTGCAATTATGAATGCTCTTAATCATTGTACATACATCTCTCTCGATATTGCAGCATCCATACTGGCTTTGTAATCATTAATTTGGGGCAGATTGAATGTGCTGTATTGATATGTATCTATGTAATTGTATTGTATGTCTTATAGCTAATTCACATTTTGAATAATGTTATTTTATTTACTTTTTTAAGAGAGGAGAATGTAAATTTGTCAGTTTATTTCTGACTAGGGATATTTTTTTCCATTTAGAAAAGAAAAAAAAAAAACCTTACTATCATACAGAGCGGTACTAGCATCGTGCTGTATAAAATCATTTGCACATTCCTGAGTAGAGGTATACTGATTATAAGACCCAAAGGTAATTTCATAGCAAAATACATAAAATCAGTTGGAGCTTTTATACAAACATGGAAACCAACTTTGTAGAACTTTTGCCATTTGATCTAGGATTGGAATATGAGCTTTTATACAATTCATATTCTTATTTGGCAAATGCACAGTTTAGTATTACCTCTCCGATGGCCTTTATTAGAAAGGCAGTTTTAGAAGCTATTGCGATCCACTAAGGAGATGTTTTAACAGCTAGAGACCACTGCTTGCCTGAAAGGGCGATCTTAAATTTGGTGCAGCAAAAACAAAGACAAAAAAAACAAAAAAACAAAAAACAAAAACAAAAAAAAAAGAAAAGAAAAGGAAAAAAAAAGTAAACAACATTGGATGGCCTACAGTGTGTATAGAGAAAACCTCATCACAAGATCATAAGTGTTACAGTTTTAGGGAATCAAGATATTCTATTTAATAGAGCTATAGTAGATGTAGTCAATTAAACCTGATCTCAAAGCTCGTAAAAGCTGAGCAAAACAGGGAAAGATTGTTATATTTGTCTTTATGAAATTGGGATGGAATTTGCTATGCAGAATTGAGATTTGTGGCTTCACTGCTTATGCTGGGGTGCATGACAGGATCCCTTCTTTTGAGAAAGGAAAAAATTGATCACCCTAGCTGCAGTGATGCATAGAAACCTAATTGTATCCACATTAGTCAATTGAAGCTAAAGGATTTTTTCTTGTTTCTTTGGGGTTTTATTGAAAGGGCGAGGGGTGGGAAGGGATTCTTTTCAGTTTTGTATAAAAACAAAGTTTACTCATGCTTTTTCTCTTCTATTGTGATTGCAAGCGTTCTAAGCGTGTGCTGCTGGACCCTTGTTGTTGATGCTCTAGGTAATGGAGGCTTGTGGCAAGTTTTATAGTGATGGACATGTCTTACTCAAAACACAAAACACAGACCTTCCTTCAGTATACCAAGGCAAGCAGCCATTTCATGACTCACTGAACACATCACAGTGTACCAGTTTACAGATGATTTTTTTCCCTCTTTTTTTGCGTGATGGGGCAGTTCTAAACCATAGAGAATTCCTTATTTGTAAATTGGAAATTTCTTCTATGCCTTACAGAGCTTAAATTCAGAAGTTTGTGCCTCATATCTGAAACAAAGGGAAATAACATGCCCATTCGAAAGTCAGTAAGTCCCCTAGAAGTTTCAGGGTTTTGTTTGGGGGGGTTGTTTTGGGAGTTCTATTATTTTTTTCTTTCTTAATATTGACATTTAAAGAGCTCTGTTCAATGTCATGAGTAGACTGGAAACAAAATTTAGGAATCTACATATGTTGTTTACTAACAGGTGACATTTACAAAAGGTATTTGAAGAACATCTGAAACTTTTTTGGTAGATTAACTAGCAAGACCTAATATTTAAAAAGGAAATACAGCTAAGGGGCAATTTACTTTTTGTACTTCAGACTATCTTGATTGTCAAGGTGTATGAACTGTAATTTAAAAATTTATACTGCCACATGATTGTAGATTTTAGTTGTCTTAAGTTAGGAATTGGTAAAAAGCTATTTATGTTGGATTTGGGTCAAAATGAGTTTATTATTTGCAAAAAAAAGTATAAAATAATAATGGGAAGAAAGGGCTGCATAATGAGATATTGCAAGACTCAGATACTGGTTGGAAATTCCCCTCGGATTACCTTCAGATTACCCTGAATTTCCCTTTGTTTTCAGTTTCTCAAAAAGAATGAATGAAATGAAATATAGCAGAATGTTAACCCATATGAAAATAAAGTGTTCCCAAATATTGTAATGTATATTGCTGCAGTTCTTAAAACTAAGGGTTCAAAACCACTTAATTGGTCATTAACATCTCAGTTGATACAAATAAGGTGTGCTTGGTATATGCTTTTCACATTTTCTCCCAAAGATATTCTTTGGTTAGAAATACACACAAAAATAGAAACTAGTAATTGTGTGTTCATCTTTCTCTACATATTTCCAGCATATGTAGCACTAATACATCTGTCCTGGCCTTTGGGATTTCATTTTGCTTCCATCAAATTAGGAAGAGAAAGGAGCTTAGGTAGAGATTTTTGAAGTCAGACACCTGCTGGTTGGTAGATACTTTGAGTACAGTTGAAACTTGTCATTTGTTTTCTTAAGAAAATAAACCATTTCCTGCTCTCTTTCCAACTGCCACCGCTTTCAATAACACCCTTGCCTCTAGAATCTTGTTAAAGTATGCACACATACCTTGTACACAGTAGGTGCTCAGATACTAATTTCTTCCTTGCTCTCCTTATCTACTTCGTGGCCTCCATTTCCCCATGATTCCAACCCAATAATTGATGCTATTTACATATTACAAAAATTGCTGTTGGGTAAATTTGGATCTTACTTGGGTAAAGGAATTTTGACTTTCATAGAAGCTTTTGTTAGGGAAAAATAACAGGAAAGTATTCTCCAGTAGAATAATTTTAGGATTGGAAAAAAAGGATGGAAAATTACTGTGTGACTTTGCCCAGGTTACATTGATTGAAACTCATTTTCGGTGGATTTCTTTTCCTTGAAGAATTTTTCTGAATGCAATTTCCTGCTGGATTCCTCACTTATCATCATGTTGGAAGAAACCCTGACTAGGCCTATGTATTTAGGGAGTTTGGTCAGAAAACATTTTTAACTTGCAGTATTTAAATGAATCATATTTACTGTTCTTAAAATGTCATTCAAATGCATGTATTGTCTATTGTTTGGGGATGGGAACTAGTTTTGCAAAAAAATCACCTTATGTTGTATAATGCCCCAATGATCTTGCTGGTTAAAAATACAGTATTTTTGGCCATAATTTGGTAGTACAGTATTCTTCATTCTTGAGTTGTTTCCCTTGAAGTTACCTAAGCCCCTCTCAGAATATCCTGTATTATAAGGAATTTTTGCATCAGACACTTTGTAGTACACATCCATTTTCAAAAGTAGGTGGCTTTAATGATTTCTACACACACACACCCCTTTTCTCATCTCTTCAGAATTGGAAATTTCAGTCCCTTGTAGTGAAAGTATACAGATAGGTAGTATTTATCAAATTTCCTCTTTTAAGAAAAACACTTACCCTAATTTAGACTACACTTGGCTTTAAGTACTGTGGCTGGTCCAGTAAAGACTCAGGGAGCCACCCGTCTGCACCTCGAGGCCATCCTCTGATTGGCAGAACCCTCACCCACAGCTCCACCTGGTTTGCCGGGTAGAGGTGGATGCTTGGCTTCATAGTGCTTCTCATTTGAGTTCTAGTAGTAAGTGGAGACCGTGGGGGAACAGGTCCCCGCACAGTTGTCTGTTATTTTGATTCTAGAGACACATCTCAGTTCTTGAGGTCTGCTAAAAACTAACTTTTCTTCCTCTAGGAATTTTATGAAATAGCGGTGAAGGTGGTAAATGTTTTTGTAGAAAACAGGTCCGTATGTCGGGACATAAAACCATAGCAAAGCAAAACCTACTTTGGCTACTTAAGATCAAGTCTTGCCAATTTCCAACCCAGTCCTTGCTTAGGAAAATGTCTTTTTAAATACTCTTCCATGTAAATACTTTAGAGAAGAGTGTCTTTTTTTTAAAGCTTTTGGTCCAGTGAAATGTGCCCGGCTTTTACTGTTGAGGGGGTGTGTGAATGAGGGCCCATCATTTAGGACATTCCTGGCATGAGTAGATCCCACAGCCTGTCTTCTGAAGAACTAGGGTGCTTAATCACACCAGCGTACCCCTCCCTGTGGCTTTGATCTGGGCCTGAGCCCTGGAGCACCTAGGTCTTTCTGTGGTATTATCATTTTAGCAGGGAGGGGCACCTCCTCAAGTATTATTCCAGACAGAGCCTTTAACCTGAACTTTGACTCAAAGCAAGGCCAAGTCGCTCTCATCAGATTTTTTTTCCCTAGCATGTCTTTCTAGGAGTAGTAAAAGAATTGCTTGGCTGGCAAGCTGCTCAGCCTGGTTCTTTCTCTTTATACCTTCCGTTTTTCTCAAAGGTAGTAATACTTTCAAGACTGCCTTTTGAGGGGCTTGTTAAGCTGAAGCCAGCAGGCCAGGGTGAAACTTGATGCTGAAGAACAAAGCCATTTCTGATGATGAGTTGGCAATTTATTTATTTGTTTGTTTGTTTGTTTTTTGCTTTTCTGTTGACTGATTTTGAGTCATTACCATACTCATCAGGTTCTCCATATTTAAAGCCTGATTGATATTTGATCAGGCTTAGAGAGTGAAAAGGCGAGTTTCAGGCTGGTTTGTTTTGTCTTAAATTACCCACGTATTATGTCAGTCTTTTTTTTTTTTTCTCATTGAGGTTATTGGTACATTTTAGGGATACAGTATAGTCACATTCATCATTGGGATCTTGTACCTTTACATGACAGGTCTTGGTTCTCATTTTTTCCCCTCGTCCCTGCCCTCCCTTCACCCCCTCCTCCCCTTCCCATTTAGAAACACTTTATTTCCATTTTTTTCATTTTCTCCCTATGTTTTTCTTTTCCCTTCCTACCTTTCCCCTCCCCTTCCCACTGCATTTCGTCAGTCTTGGCTATTTACAGTACATTTCCAGCCATTTCAAGGAATTTGGTGCAAACCATTTCAAGGGAGCTCTATAGATCCATGAAGAGCAAGGCCATGGTTTAACAATACCGGTCTTACAATCCAAGGTGTCTTAAGGAAGTACTGAAACGATTTTTTTCCTTTGAATTCTCATGCCTTGAGAAATTTGATCTGTGTTGATTTTCTTCTTCCTGTTCTCAAGATTGCAAAGGCCAGAATATTCTTGTCCCATAAACCTGAGGATAAAATAAAGCAAATTACTCTTTCATCTAAAAGGTAATTACACTGAACCCTGTTAACATAGCATGACAGGATTCCCTGGTTGCTTGCCCTCCATAGCCCCAGGACCGGGTTCTGCTGTAGATACGGACTGTTTAAAGGGCCTGTGCAACTTTGTTCACAGTTTGCCAGTATACTTATACAGGAGATCTTTTAAAAAAAAAATTTAATGGGTTTTGAGACAGGGTCTCACCATGTAGTTCAGGCTGGCGTTGAACTCACTGTGTAGCCCAGGCTGACCTGGAATTTGAAGCTATCCTCCCGCCTCAGCCTCCCAAGCGTTGTGTGCATCTCCGCACCCAGCTCAAGCATCTTTGGAAATGAGAAGATCATGAAACAGACAAAGGGGCAAGAGAAATCTGATGTCTGCAAATAGGTCTGCCTTTCTGTGTGCCATGGCTGGACAGCTAATAGCTTCTGACCAGACTGTGTGTGTTCAGGGCTGAGCCTCACTAGGAGGGTAAACCTGTCAATCCCAGCACTGCCCGCCAGTGCGTGGTCCCTGTAAGGCACCAGCATGAACACCTGAGCCCCAGGGGGAGCATCGGTGGTTGTATTCTGGGGATCAGAGACACCTTAGTAATAGGGTCCTGTTTTCTTCCTGTGGGTTCCAGAGGCCCCCTCCAGTGATAGCCCAGTAAGGAGTGTGGGTGTAGGGGCATCCGCTTACAGGACTGAGGCACCGTATTGATGTGTGCTGTACTGTATGCCAAGGCATTGTAAGTACTCCCATGGTGCCCAGTTTTCATCTCTGTGAGGCAGCAGACAAAGCCTTGCTTATTCCTGTAATTATTGTAAGGATTTTAACTCTCAGAAAAGTTTTCATTTTGACTAAAACAAAGATTTAAATCTAGCAATCAGTCTATTTCATTTTTTTCCTTAGTAGTTTTTCTAGGTGTCATCTAGGTCTAATCTAGGAACAACCATAGTAAATTTAGAAGTGTAATTTTGCTCTTCCACTACTGGGGATTGAACCTAAGGCTTTACCGTGCTTGTCAAGCCCTCTACCACTAAGCTTCATCTCCAGACTTTTCATTTCGATTTTTGTTTTGAGATAAGAGTCTAAATTGCACAGGCTGGCTCGAAATTGCAGTCCTGCCTCCGCCTCCTATTGGCTGGGATTTTAGGTGTGCACCACTGTGCCTAATTTACTAAAAAAATTAAAGGGCAGCAGAACCTGGGCTGGAGCACCATCTTGGAGTGATAAGGGGTGTATCTCCATTAGAGACTGGGAGTGGCGGTTTCCAGATCAACCTGCGGATTTTAGGTGCACAACCACATTTCAGTTCCTGTTCGATTTGCCTTAAGAATGGTGAATTCCCAGAATACTGGGCAAATGCCTTGCAAGTGCTGGTACAGATCCACAAATGCACAGTTGGGACTGTGCTCTTGAGTTCCTAGGAGCGCTGAGGACAGCGGCCCTTCCACAGCCAATGGTGCATGCAGAAATCGTTGTGGGCAGATCTCCTACAGAGTGGGGTGGCCTGCATCATTTAGCATTCTGTGGTCGTAGGCAGAAGCTGAAATGACACCTAAGGAGTGATTCTCATGCAGTAAGGGACAGAGGAAAGTGAACACATGCTCCAGCTTTGTGGCCTGCAGCGGGCCTGAGACTTCCTTTTACATATCCTCTCACGAGGTCCCCAATAGGACTGAGCCTCAGCTGCCGAAAGCACAGCCTTCACATTAATGCACACTTTATTGGCTTTTTTCCTCATTTCACACTTTTCACTCTTCTTTCTGACATCACCTCTTCAGTGAACTTCCAACCAAATTCTTTACATAGGGTCGGCTTTGGAGAAAACCCTAAGTGAAGATCAATCAGTGGACAGCCTTAACGTGGGGGAGCAGCTACACGGACTCCTCAGGGCCAATGAGATGAGCTGGTCACAGCTAGGGCTAAAAACGCTTTGCCTTGAATGAACTCCCAGCTGCCTCATTTAATCCCTGGTCTCCTACTATGAAATGAATTGGTCACAAAGGCAAAATAAGAAAAATTATTTTTCACAGTGGTGAGCAAAAATTTGAAAAAAAGTCTGTTTTGGGGAAGCTACTACAGCGTTTTTTTAAATTATGTTTTTTAAGTTTTTGCAGTCCTAGGGATTGATCCTAAGACCCCATGCATGCTAGCAAGCACTCTTCCACTGAGCTATATCCCTAGCCACTTGCAGCATTTTTTAAAAAGACAATAATTAGTTTTCATTGGTCATTTTAGCCTCACTTTCATTCTGTGCACAAGAATTCTCCAGTCCTTTTCTTCACCTGCCCAGTCCCGGCTAAAGGCTCCTGGATCTGCCCCCCACCAGCCACCTTGGAGACACCAAGATGCTCTGCTCCTCTGGCCAGAGGATGATGCTGACATAGGAGGCAGGGAGGAAAAAGGAGAGAATGTTCCACCAGAAACTTGGCGCATATGGTGACATTTAATTTTGGGAGAAAATCAGAGGCAAGAGAACATGTTTAAAACTATTACAAAGGAAAGACACATTATGTAGGCCACATTCTAAGAGTTATCTGCTGCCTACTTAGCAAAGGCACATTCTCATTAAGAACAATAAATTAAGGAAACTATGTTTCAGAGCTTGTTGAAATAGGACTTTAGAATGAGAGACTCTCCCATGCCACTACTAATGTTCAAATATATTTTTGTAAAATACATTGAGATGGTCTAAAGCTAAACAAAGTTGCATTCAAAACCAATGCTACTATTTCTCCAGAAAGTGCTGTCAAAATTCCAAATCATTTCATAAGGCATTTTAACCTGAATAGTTTTGTTAGGCATAATTTCCCACAAATATTTTCAGAAAGAACAAAATACAGCAGTGGCTTATTATATTTAAGGGAAATTTTATTCAAAGGCACCTATATAAAAGAATCTGTGCTGATGTTTCTGGAATTTGTGATAGAACTTGGGTGAACTGAGGAGGAAAAGTTAGGGCAAATTGAATTGTTGTGCAATTCAGCACCGAGGAACTAATTCCTTTCAATTGGCCACATGCCTATATATTACAGTTTCTTGAGATTGTCAGATAGAAAGCAACACCCAATATGTGCTGTTTATAAGAAACACGAGTAGAAACGCACTCACAGATATGTTAGAAAAGGCGATGCCTGGTTCCTATGACACGGAAGGAGCTTGAAGTGAGTATTCTGTCCTGAAGCAACTAAAGGTCCAAACAAACTGAAAAATCAACAACTCTTGTTAGATCTGTCAGAAAAGCAAGGCCACTACCGCCCCGCAAACTGGAGAGACAGGGAAGCGACGTGAGATAAGGCAAACAGGAGAATCGCAACTTAGCAGAGCAGAAACCACACGAGCCAGGACCAGGATCAGAAAGCCAGAAACGTCAGGGATGAATCACTGGACATCGATGCGGAGTGAAATGTTCAAGGGGAAGGGGACCCACACTCTTGTGAATTCATGTCCTGGGTCTATACCACCTGCTCACAGTGAAGATCAGAGGAACATGTGCCCTGACTTTGGGCAGGGTGAGGGAAAACAGCCATTTTGGTATAAATCCGAACAAAGCCTGTAGCTCTTCACAAGGTCTCAAGATAAAATTATTTTCCTCCAGCCTAGTAGAGTTTCTGAGAGACTAATCAACCTAGGAGAAAGGAAATACCCAACACCAGTGCCCTCCAGCCACCCTGTCCCATCTAAGGCAGGAAAAAACTGAGAGGCACTTGTGAAAATTACAGCCCAGAGCACAGACTCAGTATGAGAGGAGACCTCATCCATGAACAAGAGAATACTCCTGTTATTTTATCTCCATGGCATAAACGGCCCATGGACTGGAGCTCTTTCCACCCAGGGTCCATCTTGCAAGAACAAAATCAAAAGATATTCTAAAAGACAAAAAGACAAAAACAAGTCCCTGCATTTTGGGGAGAGAGAGAGGGAGAGAGAGAGAGAGAGAGAGAGAGGGAGAGAGGGAGAGAGAGAATGCTCTCAGATCCAGAATTTGAAGCAAGGATATAAGAATGGGAATTTCAAATAGCCATGATTAATATACCAAGGGCTATAATGGGAAACAGACAACATGCAAAAGTAAATGGACAGTGTAAGCATAGAGATGGACAATGTAAGCATAATTCTAATAAAAACATGCAAGAAATATGAAACACTATAACAATGGGCCCACTAGTAAACTGCAGATGGCTGAGGAAAGACTTCCTGGGTTTGAGGATATGTCAAGAGAAATTTAGAGAACCAAAAAGCAGAGAAAAAACTAAAAGCCAAAATGGGATACAATGTTCAAGATCTGTGGGGTAACACAAAATGTGACACATACCTCCAGTGGAACGCCAAGACAGTAAAGGTGGGGGTGGGTATGTGAGACAATAATAATCAAGAATTTCCCAAAACGATATTAGACACCAAACTCAAATCCAACCAGTTTAGAGAACACTGAGTAGGGTAAATGCCAAGACGAACTATGTGGTGTGATCAGAAACTGTGCTCAATATTTAAAATTTCACAGTAAATGACGTTATCATTAATACCCCTTAAGATACTTTCCTTTGCTTTCAGTACATTTATCCCGTTGTGCTTGTCACTTTCAGAAGCAGTTTGGGAAGAAGTCCTCTTTTGTGTCTTGAGTTCTGCTCTTGCGGCTATCTCAATGTCCTGAAAAATTCGAGATGGTCACTTTTCATAGTCATTTTTATCCTGGAGAAGGGCCAGATAACACCGGGTACCGGATCTGGTGAATAAGATGGATGGGGACACACTGTCTTATGTTTAACAGCCTGGCTTGCCATTAGATAGCACTTCGCAGAAGCATTCACCTTAGTTTTGATCACACCCCATAAAGACACTTACAAAAGAGGACTTCCGGAATTGCTGCGGTGTGGGCAGGAATCCGCTGTGTGGGCAGGCAGACCCACACCAGACCAGGGGCACCCTCTCCCGTGTGAGCGAGCAGACGGTGGAGGTAGGAATGGTGCCCCTCCCCACGGGAGTAAACAGGTCCACACTGGACACACAGTGCCTCTGGGTGTGAGGGCACAAGCCACCCAACACTCCAAGCTGTCTCTACATTTTATTTCCCCGTGACATTGGGCAGCAGAGGTGAAGACTGACCAAGAGACCTGACGAGGACAATGCCTGAGGAAAGAAAGGAGTAACCAGACCCTACGACTGTGGAAATTAAGTCCAACAGCCCACTCCAACCCTGCCCTGCAGCCTACATCCAGCAGAGACCAGAGGGCTGATCATGTTCCCCATCTGCCAACAGGCAAACAGGTGTCTTGGCTTGGACAGTAAACCTGGAGGATGGTATAAGAGAGGGGACTCTGACACGCAGGGGTGGGGGAACCTCAAAAACTATAGGCTCCGAAGCTAGAAATAGAAAATTGTGCCCAGATCCCAAGACTGCAGATCTTGGAAAGAAATCACTTGTTCAATAACAGTAAATTTTATTTGACTCAATTTTTAAATATTTTTCTATTTTGTACTATGTTTATCTTCCCTTCATTGAGGTTTAGAGGGCTTGCAGTTTTTTTCTTCCTTTTTTCCTCTTTTAATTTTCTTTACCTCATTTTCTCTTTCACCTTTTTTCCTTTACCTTTTTATCTTTATTTCCTGTTGTTGGTCTGTTTATCTCTTCTCTTGTTGTCATATGCTTTCTCTTCAACTGTTCTCTATCACTATCAATTTCCTTTTATTCCTCAAAGGTGCCCACATCTCATTTTTCTCTCCTCCTCATAACCCACTGATTAATTTTTTTTTACATTTTGCTATTTCCATTCACTGGTTCCCTACCCCCTCTGCTTTTATTGGTATAACTACTAAGCTTTCTGAGTCTCTAGATAGCTCATTAGCTTTAAACTGCTGCTGTTGAACATTACTCTATTGTTAGTAAAGTTGTTCCATTGAATAGATATTTACTGCAAGTCAATGGGGGGGGTCAATATTTTGTTTGTCTTAGTGTTCATATTATAATTGTGGATCTCTGGGCCAGGGATTAAGCTCAGTGTCTCTGCCACCTGCCTTGCTAGCACAAGGTCCTGAGTTCGATCCCCAGTGCCTAAATAAATAAATAAAATTATGGACCTCTTTTATATTGCTAAGGGTAATACTTTTTGTTTTGTTTTGTTTTTTTGAGACAGGGTCTCACTATGTAGTTGAGACTGACCTGGAACTCACTATATAGCCCAGGGTGGTCTTGAACTCACAGCAATCCTCCTGCCTCAGTCTCCCGTGTGCTAGGATTACAGGTGTGCACTATCATGCCTAGCTTGGTAGTACTTTATTGGTCAATATTGTTCGTCAATATTCAGTTTGTGTTTGATGATATCATTGATACTGATTTTATTACTATAGCCAAGGTGACATATCAGTTGGGTTTTTGGGATGCAAATATCTGGATTGCCTTGGAGTCCTTAACCATACTGTGGCCCATTCCTGGAAAACTGGATACTGGGCCGAATATGCTGCAGCCTCCCATCACAAGTAAACAGAGGTGGTTGGATCCTGGGACAGAGGCAAAGGCCAATAGTTAGCAGTGCCCAGAGGACAACACTGAAAGGGACACATTAACTAAAGAAGTCTCCAAACTAGAAACAAAGCTTTCTACTACAACCACCCAAAAGCCTCAACATACAAAAACAAAATGAAACAAAATATTAAAAAAGAAACATGAGCAGACAAGCCAACAAAATACTTCCCAAAATTCCCAAGTTTCCCAAAGCTGATCCATGTAGCACCAAAGAGGAAGAAACCAAAAGCCATATGCCTAAATTGTTTGAGATATCAGGGGAGATGACAAAATATCAATGAGGCCCTTGCAAAGCTCACAGAATATATAAGTAATAAAATATTGGGCCAAATAAAATGATCAGCAAGTCCACAGAACATATTAATAAAAACTAGAAGAACTAAACAAAATGATGCAAAACATGCATGACCAACATAGAAAAAAAATAGAGTCCATAAAAAGGTCCCAAATAGAAATTCAGGGGTTTGAAAGGTCAATCAGAAATGGGGGTACCAGAAGGGACCAGTGTGAAGCAACAGTGTCAAAGCTAGTAGACAGGGCTGTTGTCAGTAGCCAGTCAGTGACAGACAATGCAACATGAACAATGTTCTCTTTGCTCCTAGATCATGCAAAGAAGACTAATCTAAGATTAATTGCTATTAGCAAAAAAAAAAAATCAGTAGATAAATGGCACAAAAACCCTATTTACTAAAATAATGGTAGAAAACTTTCCAAATAAGGGAAAGAATTTAACATACAGATAAATGAGGCATATAGAACCCCAGAAAGCTACATTCAGAAAAAAATCCACAACACATCATAGTTAATACAGAATATCAAAAGTAGAAAAAAGTATCAAATCACATATAAAGAAAAACAATCTCCAGGAAATAGGTTAAGGCAGCACACTGGCTGGAGAAGTGGGTGAGATCTGTCAATTCCAAGATCCCAGGACATCACCAGGACCTGTATGTAGAACTTCTCACAGGATCCCACAGGGTGTGGACTCATAAAATAGGGCCATGAGGAGCTTGCTGTTGTGACTTTTCAGAGTAGGCCACTTTGCATCTCCGAAACTCAGGGTGTGCTTTTATCTTTGCTTTACCCTTACTTTTGTTCTTCCCTTATCCCTTCACCTTTCACCTTTAAAATAAACTTTTGGCATCGTTTTTGGCTTGTCTCCTCCAATTCTTTGTTTGAGACAAGAAGAATTTGGATGTAATACTTTTGTTTGGCAAGCCATTTTTAAAGGAACTACCTAACAACAACACCAGTACTCCAAAATATTCTCAAGGTTACCCAGAAAGAAAGAATGAAGTTAATAATGACAAAAGATTACCCGAATGAATATGCCACGTAGGGTGAGCAGTTAAACAGGAAGGAAAAATAGGAAATCAGTAACAGGAAAATAAGGCAATGACATGAATAAGTCAGTGCTGATCAATAATAATGTGAATGGTCTCAGTTCTCCCATCAAAAGACAGAGACTGGTCTGGGGATTTAGCTCAGTGGTGCCACCACCTGCCTCACAAGCACAAGGTCCCAAGTCCAATCCCCAGTACCAAAAATAAATAAACTAATAATGAAAAAAAGACATAGAATGACAGGATGGATCAAGAAACAAAACCCAACAGTATGCTGTATACAAAGAAACATTTTTGACCCAAAAGAAACTCATGGATTAAAAAGCAAAGAGTGGAAAATAATATTCCATGCAACAGAAACTCTCAAAATAGCAGGTGTAGCTATCTTATATTCAGATAAAGCAGACTTCGAGCCAAAACTGATGAAAAGAAGCAGAGAATGTCACTACATATTGGCCAAGGGAACAATCCAGCAGAAAGACATGACAATTATTAATGTATATACACCAAACAATGGCACACCCAACACTATAAAACAAATACTTCTGGACATAAAAGACCAGATAACATAATCGCATTAATGGAGAAGCCTCACTATCCCATTATCACAAATAAACAGATCAACTAGACAAAAAATACAGAAATATCAGATTTGGACAAAACTTTTGAACAAATGGACTTAATACATATTCACAGTGTTTTACCCCAAATCAGAACATACATCTTTTCAGTAGTTCATGATACTTTCTCCAAAGTAGACTATATACTAGCCAATAAAGCAAGCTTAAAGAAATGCAAAACAATTGAAAGTATGCCATGTATTTGATCAGATTGTAGGACAAGGAAGTTAGAAATCAATCACAAAAGAAAACACAGAAATTATTCAAATGCATGGAAACTAAACAGTGCACTCAAATAAACAACAGGTTATAGAAGAAATCAAGGAAGAAATTCAACAGTTTCTACCACTAAATGATAATGCCAGTACAGCATAGAAGAATTTAGGAGACACAGTGAAAGCAGTCCTAAGAGGCAAATTTATGAC